GTGCACCTCGCGGCAGCGGTTCTCCTGCTCCTCACAGGCTGCGATGAGCGTGATGACCTTCTCTGGATCAGTGGCCGTTTTCACGTCTGACAAACCTTTGGCCCAAGCACAGGAAGACACCAGCCACATGAAGGCGAACACGGCCGACACCACGAAGTCCTGGGAACCGAGGAAAACAAAGGAAAGTCATCTTTATTCATAAAAACAAAAAATCAGTTTTGACCCATGAACACGAGACCGTCTGTGATGAAACTCACGATCTGAGCGCCTTTGTTGTTTTCACGGTACTTCTCCAGGATGAAACAGTACACAGACATGGCTGCCATGGAGTACAGGAAGGAGAAGACAGCGATGGTGACAAAGAACTCCGCGGAGGAGGAGTAGTCCCCGACCAGGAAGAGACGCTCGGGCTTCCCTCCCTTACAGGTGGGAGCATCGAAGTAAACCTGATGAAGTCTGAAGAACAGAGAGAGAGAGAGAGAGAGAGAGAGAGAGAGAGAACGACACGTAAACAAGTGTTTTAGTTTAAGGCTTTTACTGTGAAAGTGTCGACATCAAAGTGGGGGGGCGGGGCCCTGCAGGGGGCCGATGCATCAAGGGAAATGAGTTTTAATTTCAATATTTTTTCTGTCTGTGCCACAGTTTAAACAGGAGACGTATTCAGGCGTTTTCACTCTAGCTCATTACTGCCCCTCAGTGGATGTATTGCTTAACAACGATGCTAAACATAAGGCCCGAGGGTACAAATCAGAGGAGTAAACGCAGCTCAGTGCAGAGTGTTTTGGTGTTCTGGAGTACTACTGCGTACTACTGTGTACTACTGTGTACTACATACCTGAATGGATATTCAAATTCTACTTCTATGCCCAGATCACTCTCGGAGCGGTTTTTACACTCCACGCTCATCTTGAACATGCCGGAGTAACTTCCACATGTTGAGAAGGCGAAGATCGCAAAGATCTGCAGAGAAAAAAGAAGAAAAAGAAGAAGAAGGAGGAGACGAAGAAGAAGAAGAAGAAGAAAAAGGAGAAGAAGAAGAAGAAGAGGAGGAAGAAGAAGAAGAAGAAGAAAAAGAAGAAGAAGAAGAAGAAGGAGACGAAGAAGAAGAAGAAGAAGAAGGAGACGAAGAAGAAGAAGAAGAAGAAAAAGAAGAAGAAGGAGGAGACGAAGAAGAAGAAGAAGAAGGAGGAGGAGGAGAAGAAGAAGAAGAAGAAGAGGAGGAAGAAGAAGAAGAAGAAGAAAAAGGAGAAGGAGAATCAGAAGCTGAGGTGAATTGTTATTTTTTAGATTTCAACCATTTTAGATTTCTGGGTGTGAACCTGCGCTTTGACCACCTGCGGTGTTTTCACACACACACACACACACCCACGCGTCGTCGTTCACTGCTGCAAAAACACACACACACACACGGCCCAAATCCACTCTATCAGCAGGTTGTGCAGTGAGGACTGTAGCTGTTGCCATGGTAACGGCTGCGTTGGGATGCCATGAACACTTGGACAACACTCGTGTCGGAGCCTGTCAGTTACAGAGAACACACCTTAATTCAGTCTTCTACACACACACACACACACACACACACACACACACGGCAGATTAAACAACTCAACTATTTTTACCACGCCCTTCCCACCACTGCAGGTCAGAGCCGATTGGACGGAAAATCCAGCCATTAATCTGACTGAGGTGCGCCACCATCTGTCACCAAATACTACCCGGCCCACCCAATCCCGCCGCTCGCAATCGCAGCCACACCCGCACACGGGAGCTTAGACACACACACGTACTGGTAGTACAGCCTGTCTGCAGTACAAGTATTTACAGTAATCTTGAGGCTAATGTTTGTTGGATTTAGATTAAATCAGATCAGATTAGATCAGATTAGACCTGATTGGTCCCACATTAACGACAAGAAAAAAAAAGAACAAGAAAATAATAATTTTAAAAACAGAATAGAGTTGTACAATAGTACACACAGTAATACTAGATACTGTCAAGGATGTGTACTCGTCATATCTCCAGCTCCATTACATACCCATTATGTCCTTGTGGGGGCGCTGGAGCTTTATGGCTCATTATTTCAAGCTTAATAAAAATAATTTATTTATCTTATAAGTGAACAAACTCATGGACTTCATTACAAGGCAATTAAACACTTTAGCTGAAGGTCCCGCGGGCCACACAAGATGACTTGGCGGACCACGTTTGGCCCACGGGCCTTAAGTTTGGCACAGACAATTTACAACATCAGAATGTAAATAGTGTTCTCTAATTGGCAGTTTCTTCACTGCTGACACATGTGCGGTGTTAGCATAACGACCCCCCCGCTCACCCCCTCCCCCCCCACCCCC